TCCCCCCCCCCCCCCACACACACACACAAAACAAACATTTAAAACTAGATTCACTGAAGACTCAAAGACTTTTGAAGGTACACAAAAGCAACGTTCTCTTCCTTTCTTTCGACTAATCCTGACCTCTCTCTTTAGCAGCTTTCTCAAGTGATTTACAATACAGATAAGAAAAGCTACTTAGATCTATCCGGTTTTTTTGTTGGGAAACTCAAACCCCCACCCCTTCTCGCGTCTCTAGGGTCCCACCACCACCAGTCACCGTAGTTACCACACTCCTGTAGTCCCCTCACGACAGTTAGTCCTGACCCCATGACCCAGGCACCGCACATACAGTCAGAAGTAATCTAGAAAAAATGTGGTCTCTGCGCGGTTCTGCAAATAGCCAAGGAGATAGAGGTCTCTCTGCCAATTTGCAATGTCACTGACCGTGGCCAAGTCCTGTTTGCCCTCGCTGGCCAAGGCGATTTCACGTTGACGGCTTGTTCAGCTGATCCAGGTAGCCCCCACACGTGCCCCAAGGAACGCCACACACATTTGAGATCGTTTAGCAGTTCGGCGCAAATTGTGTTTAAAGCTGTCTGAGCAAAGATACCGAGCAAGAGGTTAACCAAATTTGACGAAAAATCGCCAAGCTCGGGGCGACAATTTGAAAGCTTTTCTGACAGCCACTGTGCCTCCATTAGTGTCCATCTTTACTTTTACTGAGAGTAACGAACTAAATGACTTAAAAGCTAAACATTGTTTGAATTTGTTTAATGCCGCTAGAGTAAAGATAAATACAGTTTTAAACAATTAAAGAAAACTTTCATAATAGACACAAGTCGGTCTAGATCTATTTCCTTTCTGAAAGGAGCAGATCATAATATTATTTACCGTGGCTGTCAACGGTTTTTCATCCTCAAATGAGAGCTGGAAGACCATCGATAGCGAACGAATAGTATAGTTAACTCTAAACAGTTCTCTCCCTTACATGTATGTAGAGAAGACAAAAAAGCAACAACTTTTAAGCGTACGATTCCCTGATTGGATTTCTCCCTGTTATAAATTGTTATTGCTAAACAGTGTACTTGTTTCAAGGAAATACATTTCGGTTCCTTTGTCGGAATTTATTCACTCCTGGGACAATCAATACCAACCTGAGAGTGCTTCAGATATTAAAAGGTGAGTACAATGCGCGCGGATTTTTAAAAAACAAATTTGTTTTTGTTTTATTCCAATACCCCCCCCCCCCCCTCCACCATTTTCGGCTAAAGTAAAAAAGAAAAGTATGGACGGAGAATTGTATTGCTGGGGAAAAACCCTCATTCAAATATAGAACGAAAAATAAGCAAAATACAGTCGAACCTGCCCTGACGGTCACCTCTATAAGACGGCCACCTGTGCAAACGGCCACTTTCCATTTCCCCCCTTGCGTTTTTTCTATATAATTTAACTGTGTAAAACGGGCACCTGTCCAACGCAGCCGCGGCCACCATATTTTAACACACAACCCCTATCACACTAAGCAATAACACCTGTCTTAGACGGTCACCTTAGTGACTCCATTACGTTTTGACACAAATTGTGCACTGGTCCCTGGCGTTGTGGGCGAGCCGTCATAATTCAATCACCTGTCGTTGTTGTTAGGTAGTCCCTCCAACTGATCATGTTAGGTAGGCCCCTCCCACTGTTGACCAATAGGTACCAATCTTCAGCTGCTGGTGAGGTAAGCGTATGATAAACCCCGCCCAGAACTAATACACAAATCGTAAGTGAGATGAGTGGTCACTGTTTGCCCAGTCTGTAACAAAGTAACAATGGACGTCAACATGAACTTGTGACAGAAGCGTCGCTCGTTCTCTGAGTGGTGGCGACCATGTGTTTGTTGTAACATGGCACTCAGTCTTTCTCGTCTGATACATTTCGTTGTATTGTCACTCTTGCACAAAATCAGCAACGAAATAAAAATAACAAACAAAATACAAACCAACAACAACAAAAACAAGAAACAAAGCGGCTACTTTCGATTGGAACTTCAGATGGGAATGGTTTGCTTTCTTCATCTTGATTAGTCCTGCCTAAGACGGCCACCTGTCTTATACGACACTTTTCTCCTCGACCATGGGTGGCCGTCTTACACAGGTTTGACTGTAAATCCAATGCTATTCTTAAAATGCTAATGCAGTAAACCCAAATGAATGACAAACAAATATGCATCATCGTTGTTTTTGCGTCGGTGGCCTAGTGGTTAGGCTCTCGGACTCGCAACCGTAAGGTCGCAGGTTCGAATCCTGTCAGGGGCCCGACGTTGTGTCCTTGGGAAAGGCATTTAACACCAATTTTTCTCACTTCACCCAGGTGGGAATGGGTACCCGGCTATAGACAGCGAAAGATCTTGTCAGTTTGTTAGTGTTTGAGCGCTTACTCAGCTGCTTGCACTGTATGCTTCCCGGGAAGCTGAGAATGTTTCTGAGAGTTCTATGGTCTGCAGGGGTAATAATATAGTGTAAGGCGCATAGAGACTGCTGTTGAGCGGAGATATGCGCTATACAAATGCTATTTATTATTATTATTTATTATTTTGCAGAAATTTTCACAACTTTCTACTGTCTCAGTTTGGTTTTGCAAACGTGTACCCAAGTACTTCTAAAAAATATCTCTGTACATGCATTGTTTTTACGGGATTGTTCCATAAAACGGAAGGTGTCCACTTCCATTTTCCTTTCGTCCGACACTTCAGCATAACTGCAGAATTAAATTCCACAACTACTTCTGGAAATTGTAGATTAAATTGTGAGGCACCGTGGTGAAATCAGGCTCTCGTCAAAATAATCAAAGTGAAGAAACTTGCATTTTTCTACAGGTTTCTGAATTTATATCAAATTTTTGTTTTTTGGCTCAACTCCTTTCATAACCATTAAAGTACTCATTTCTGTGTGGATTTTTCTGAATAACGTTGATTAAAGGCACAAAAAATGTAAATTTTCTGTAAAAAAATACTCTTAAGCTATGGAAATAACTAATCTTTGGCTGCCATTTTCTCTCTAATTTTACCTCTGAAAACAGGTGACCCCCACCTCCTTCATTTGCAAATATCTCGACTTGTATTTAAGATAAATGGATATTTTTAAAAATCCAAATAAAGACAAGTGAACAAGCTTTAAGATGATACCAATAACTCTACATGCCCCAAAAATTGACGAGAGCCTGATTCCACCACGCTGCCTCACAATTACTTCCCCTTCCCTTGGCGGGATTTGATCTCACATTTTCAGTTTGAAACGCCACGAAGCCTAATCAGACCACTAAAGACCCTAGTCTAAACTTACTGGAGACAAATTTTATCTCTCTGGAATTAGAAAAAACAAATTATATCATCCTTTAATCTTAAAAGATGCATTTATCATCGAGAAAAAAGTACTCTGCACCAGTTCATGCCATCTTGCACATACACCTTTTAACTATTATAAAATGTACCCTTTTAAAGGAGATATTGTGAGGCGTGCTGGCAAAATGAGTTACTTCTCGCATTCCACAAATGGAGATATTGGCCAAAAATTTACACTAGGTTCAAATTTGTAGATTTTCTAATAATGCCATATTATTCTTTACGACAGTAAGACATACCTTTTATTATTTCATACTTATAAATTGTAAAAAAAACAGCTAGGTGTATCTATTTCTATTGAGCACCAACCAATCCAAGAAGTAACTCATTTTGTCAGCACATTTCACAATCGTGGGTTTTGATATTAGTAGTTGTTACTCCTGTTTTGTCAGAAAACGTTAATATAATTATGATGGAGTGTGTGTGTGTGGGGGGGGGGGGGGGGGGTTCTCGTGGTTTAGAGTTTACGGTGTTCGCCTCTAATTCAATAGGTTCTGGTTTTGAAAGCTTACAGCGACAGAAATGTTTCCTCTCTAAAATGTTCTCCTTTCACCTTCTTTCCTGCCGTCTTACCATGTTCCGCAGTCTGATTTCGTCTTCACTTTTTGCCCCCATATCCCCCTCCCCTTTTCCCCCTCCTCTGGGTTCCTGACTCTTTCTGCAGCCTTTCTGCTGCCAGTCCTTGGCTCCTCCTTACTACTGTCTTTCATCCGCACCCCTGATCTCAGGGTAGGTAAGATCTAACACCTAGCCTTCTCGGATAAGGGCGAATAATCTCTCAGGTCCTCTGAGCAAATTGCGCTCGTGAACAATCCCTTGGTGTTCCAAAAATCGATTAGAGTAGGTTTCGGCTGCCACCCGAGCAAAATTGAAAATTTATTCATGCCAAACTTTAAAAATGTCTAATGTGTCCTGCGTGCTCATATGAGACCTTATGCAGTTGCGAGCGCCGTAAAACACTTACCAAAACAAAACAAAAAACAAATAACCAAAAACATAACAACAGAACCCCCCCCCAAAAAAAAAACAAAACAAAACAACAACAACAACATAATTGTTTATTATGAACTGGCAAGGCGGCTCCCATCTCAATTACATTATTTTTGACTGGGATCGATGAGTGTTCGTAATTCCAATGTTCTGATTTTTAGACGTCCTCGCTGAAAAAAAAATCATAAAAAATTTTTTTCATAGTGACCAACTCTCACGTGATCTCATGTCTCCAAAGGCGAACAAGACACACATTTATTCTTTCCGAATAAATGGGACATAGGTTTCCAACACAAGAAACTTACCTTATATCATCCTTTCAATGGATGGAAAAAGCGTGCCATATGTGAGGCAGTGCGGTGGAATCAGGCTCTCGTCAATTTTTGGGCATATTGAGTTATTGGTATCAACTTAAAGCTTGTTCATTTGTCTTGTTTTCAATGAAAAAATTACCCATCCATCTTCAATAGAAGGGGAGATATTTTGGATTGAAGGAGGTGGGGGTCACCTGATTTAAAAAGTTAAATTAACGAGAAAATGGACGCCAAAGCTTGGTAAATTCCAAAGCTGGAGAGTCCATGGAAACTGTAAATTTATATTTTTGTGCCTTTAATCAACGTGTTCGGTGAAATCCTCAAAGGAA